ATCTCTCCAGCCCCTGTTTTTGCCCTTTCTGCCACAAGGTCTCCCTGTTAGCCCCAGCTGGCCTGGAACTTGCTGTGTAGACCAGGCTGGCCTTGAACTCACGGAAATCCGCCTGCCTCTGCCTCCCAAGCGCTGGTATTAAAGGCGTGTGCCACCATGCCCCGCTCATTTTCTGACAGTTTCAAAAATAAATTTGGATTAAGGCTAGTGAGATGACTCAGCAGTAAAAGAAATTGCTGCTGAATGATGACCTGACTGATGACTTGAGTTCAGTCTGCTGAATCCACATGGTAAAGGAGAGACATGATTCCTACAGCTTGTCCTCTAACCTCACCTGTGCGTCCATGCACATAACATACAGGATGGATGGATAAATAAATAAATGTAAGAAATAAAATAAATTTGAATTAGTCTTTGCTGTTTAGCCTTTTTGACTTTATTTAAAATCAAATGAGCCTTTATAATTGTTGCATTTCTGTTATGATTAAGTTGCCTTAACCAAGTTAAGTTGATTAAAATATTTTGATAAAACATTAAAAATTTTTACCAAACTGTTTATTATCATAAATTTTAACATTATAGTAAGTATCAGTATGGTAATTTACTAGCTATCAGAACAAGACAACTTAATTATTAGTTGAGGGCACTCCCTGTGACAGTAATCCCATTACTAATCCCAGAGTTTAATCTGTTGTCTACCAACCAGTTATATGTATGGTATTGGAAGTGTAAAGTAGTAGTACAATAATGTGTTTTTATGTTATACCAAGTTCATGAATTGAAGGGAGAGGAGATTATTTCCATTTCAGGCCTGTTGACCCTAAGAGGTTATATGATGACCAAATGGAAACCAGAGCAGCTAGGTCTTTTGCTTTAGAATGCAGAGAACTATCAGGGACTTGAGACTGATTCAGCAGCCATTACACCTGAACCACTGAGACAGAAGAGAATTGTTAAAATGATTCTGTGTCTTGGGGTTTACAAATTCAGAACCTATGGAACCGTACATGTAACTGTTGAAATGAGTGGGGTATAAGTGTTGATAACATTCATTGTGTGAATTTTGGTGATTACTATAGCAAAATGAAAAGTTGATGCCTTTGGTGGCTACCACTTGGTAATACAAGCCCAAACTTTCAAGATCTGATTTTTCAAGAGAAGCCAAACATCTGGACTTTGGTGTGAGTTAAAGTCAGTTGATACACAGATGGAAAGGGTAGAGGTGGAAACAATATGTGTAACAGTGTATACAATATCCACATTGAGTTCTTACTGTCTCAGAGCTTTTGTACTTGATTTTCCCTCTGACCAAAACCTTTTTCCAAATACTCTACATGACTTTCTCCTTAACCCTCTTCTGACTAGGTCTAAACATGATCCTGAATATACTTTAAAATTACAAACTTTCCCACACAGCCCATTTTCTTGCTGTTCAGTTAATAGATTTTGCTTACTTTCCTCATTTATTTTCTTTTCACTAGAGCTTGAATTCTATGAAATTTTCAGATATTTTGTTCTTAGTTCTAATTCATTTGTGCATGCCTAACACCTAGAATGTGCCTCCAGTATTAGGATATTCAGGAATGGGTTCAGTTCCCAGCACCCACATGGTGCCTTAACAACCGTTTGTAACTCCCGTTCCAGAAATTCTGACGTCCTTTTCTGGCCTCTGCAGGCATTGCATGAAACAGGAACACTTAACATCATGCAGGCAATATATTCATACACATAAAAATAATAAAAAATTAGCCAGGCATGGAGGCGCACGCCTATAGTCCCAGCACTTGGGAGGCAGAGGCAGGCGGATCTCTGTGAGTTCAAGGCCTGCCTGGTCTACATAGTGAGTTCCAGGACCTGCTTCAAAAAGCAAAAATAAATGAAAAGTAAATAAATAAGTAAATAAATTTTTAAAATTTTAAAAAATTTTTAAATTCAAAAGATAGCTGTTAGGACAAGGACATGCAGCAGTAGCTGGGAGAGAATGTGAAAATGCCAGTCTTCTTAGAGATTCCCTTAACATGAGCATTTTAAAAAAAATATTTTATTTTTTTTATGTGTATGTGTGTATTGCCTGCATGTAGGTAAGTGCACCCGTGTCATGCAATGCCCACAGAGAACAGAAGAGGCTGTCGGAGCTCCTGGAACTGGAGTTAAGGACAGTTGTTAACTGCCATGTGAGTGTTGGGATTCGAACCCAGGTCTTCTGCAAGAACAGCCAGCGTTCTTAACCACTGAGCCATCTCTCCAGCCCAACATGAGTTTTTTTTTTTTGTTCATTTTGAGACAGGGTCTCCTTGTAGTCCCAGGTGAACTGAACTCACTATGTAGACCAGGCTGACCTTGAACTCACAAAGATCTGCCTGCCTCTGCCTCAGCCTCAACATGAACATTTTTAAATGTGCTATGGACATATGTAAACAGATATAATTGTGGGTAGAATATATTTAGAAAAGAGACCAAAAGGGGGGGTGGTTTAGATGATAAGGAAAGACAGTGCAGATAAAATCAAACGTGAATCATAAAAGAAGATCTAAAGCTATTTTTCTAGTTTTAAACTCTGCCATAGTTTTCTTTTTTGTACTGGGTGTGTGTATAAAAATGTAATTGAGCCGGGTGTGGTGGCACATGCCTTTAATCCCAGCACTCGGAGGGCAGAGGCAGGAGATCAAGACCAGCCTGGTCTACATACGAGTTCCAGGACAGCTGGTGATGTATAAAACCCTAATCAAAGCTCTATTGCTTCAGAATGGCCATTCTAGTCTCATTGAAATTCACTAAGATGGATAGCTTGGGACTGGGCAAGTATCTGAGTGGCTCCCTTATTCTACCTGTGTGATGTTTTTATTTGCGAGTTCATTACAATAAAGTGATCTTAGTCCTTAAAAAATGGCATGGGAAAGAAATCAGAATGCAAAAGTCACACACCTATCTGTCTTTATTCAGATATATTTTCTAAGCACTTTATGAGTTATAGAGTTCTCTATAGGTATTAACATACAGCAGTGATGAATAGAGGTACTGCTTAGTACCTTATGATCCATAAGACTGTGGTGGTGTTGATGCTTTAGATCCTTGAGGAGATAAGATAAAGACAAGAGTGACCTTAATATGCAAAGTGTTTCACCATGGAGAATTATGAAGTATAGACGTATGTAGATACTGATTTTTTTTTCTTTTTTAAAATTTGAGACGAGGTCTCCCTGTTGCCCCAGCTGGCCTGGAACTCACTATGTATATGTGATTTCATTCATCTACGTTCCCAGTAAATAGTTCCTAGGAGCAGGACCTTCATTAGTTGTGTATGTGTTTAAAATATTTATCTGGGGCTGGAGAGATGGCTCAGCAGTTAAGAGCACTGACTGCTCTTGCAGAGGACCCGGGTTCAATTCCTAGCACCCACATGGTGGCTCTGAACCATCCTTAACTCCAGTTCCAGGGGAATCCAAAGCCCTCTTTTGACTTCTGCAGCATTGCATGACACAGGAGCATTCACATACATGCAGGCAATACAAAAAAAAATTTTTTTAAGTCTTAAAAAAAAAAAGTATTTAGCATATAATAAGCATTCACATAAATAATTATTGGTTAAATGACATGTGTAGTGTTTTGTTTTTGGGTGGAGACTATATCTCCCTCCTTAGATTTAAGGCAGAAGATTGGATTTGTAATACTCCTTTACTAGAAAGTAATTGATCAGAATAATTCATTCCCAAAATTTACTGAGAACTTACAGAATTTAGGGGTGTAAAATTATTCTTTTTTTTTTTTTTTTTTTTTTTTTTTTTTTTTGAGACAGGGTCTCCTTGTAGTCCCAGCTGTCCTGGAACTCACTATGTAGACCAGGCTGGCCTTGAACTCACAAAGATCCACGTGCCTCTGCCTCCCAAGTGCTGGGATTAAAGGCGTGTGAGTATATGTATATTTAAACCCTCTTCAGAGGCAAGAGGGTTTAAATAGCCCTTGGACTGTAGTTATAGGCTGTTTCAAGTCTCCTGTCATCAGCATGGGTGCTGGGAATTGAAGCCAGGTCCTCTGGAAGGCTCTTGATCATTGAGCCACTGTGAAAAGTTTCGAAGAGAAATTTCTAATAACACTTCCATAGAGTTTAGTGGTTTTGTAATATGTATGTTTTCATACATATTACAAATTGATTGTAATACACATTGAATTTCTGACTAAAGGAACCTCACAAATAATTTAACTTAACCCTCTCAATTTACAAACTTAATGAAGTCAAGCTTCAGGAAGTGTAAAAAACTTGCCCAGTGTTTCTCCCCAGTTAGAAATGGGTATGAACACAGCTCAGCAGTTATGTGTATGAGTGTAATGCCTGCATGTTGGTGGGTGTTGGTAGATACACCCATGTCATGCAGTGCCCACAGAAGTCAGAAGAGGGTGTCAGATCCCATACAACTGGAGTTATGGATGGTTGTTAGTCGCCATGTGGGTGCTGGGAATTGAACCCTGGTCCTCTGCAAGAGCAGCCACTGTTTTTAACCACTGGGCCATCAGTAACATTTTTAAGAAAAGAAATGGGAATGAGAAGTAATAGGGAGAAGCATCATAGGTCTGGCTTGCTTTACCAGCTAGTGCTTCTCTACTGGGCCCTCTGTCTTACATTCTAGACCCACTGCAAAGTTGTTTCCTAAAAGTAGATGACTTGAGAAGTTAAAATTCATTACTTTATGAAGAGTTTGCAATGGGTTTAAAGTTTACTTTAAGAAATAAATTCCAAATTTCTTTTTGTCATTTAGAGAAAATCGTGTGGAGTTTTTCAAGTTTGTTTTGTTTGCTCCACCCCCCACCCAAGACAGATTCTCACTGTAGAGCCCAGCCTGCCTTTCAGCTCTCAACTCCTCAGCCTCAGCTTCTCAATGTTTAGAATTACAGGTGTGAGTTGCCATGTCCAGGAAGATAATTGTGTTTTTAAGTATGTAATTAAGTTGGAAGAATGAACTGAAATTTTTTTTTTTTTCATTTCACTTAAAACTTTGTTACAGAGAAACTCTTTCTACTCAGTTGGATCTAGCGGAAACAAAAGCGGAGTCTGAGCAGTTAGCTCGAGGACTTCTGGAAGAACAGTATTTTGAATTGACCCAGGAAAGTAAGAAAGCTGCTTCAAGAAATAGACAAGAGATTACAGATAAAGATCACACTGTTAGTCGGGTAAGTGTCATAATCAGGTAAGATATATGACAGAAATTGATTTAAAATCAAAATAGGTCACAGTTTACAGGATTAGGATGCATGTGCATGCATATTACTTTAAATATATAGTGACCTGCGGGTGTGGTGGTGCACACCTTTAATCCCAGCACTCAGGAGGCAGAAGCAGGCGGATCTCTGTGAGTCCCAGGCCAGCTGGGGCTACAGGGAGACCCTGTCTCAAAAAGACAATAAATTAATTAATTAATTAATTAATAGTGACCTTTCTATACTTTTGTGTTAGTTTATAATCCAAAACAGTTGCTAATGATAGAAAATCTTATTCAGTACACTAGAATTTAGGCTGATGGTTACTCTTTATTATATTTTGTATGAAGAAATGCTTTTCCTAAATTTGGTTGTTACCCTCTTGCTATGGTGAACATGTTTTTATAAACAAGAAATTGAAATTCAGAGAAACCATTTTGGTCTAAGAAATTCTTTGTTGATAGCCACCAATATTCTATAATAAAACCAATACTTAGGAACAGATACCTATTCCCAAGGTTTATACTATAGTCTATATAGTAATATGGGATAAAAAGTAGAAGTTAAAGAAATATGTCTTTGGAAGTTAACTGCATTCTGGTGTGAGCCAGCTTGGGTTCAAATACTGTCTTTGCCTCTGAAAAGTTACATAATCTTGGCGTGTTTCTCTAAGCCTCAGATTCTTCATCCATGAAATAGGACTAATAAGGGCTGGAGGGATATCTCATTTGGTAAGAGTGCATGCTCTGCATGCATGAGAACCTGAGTTTGAATTTCCATGTTAAAAGCTGGGCATGGGGGCTAGAGAGATGGCTCAGCAGTTAAGAGCACTATGCAGAGGTCCCAAGTTCGATTCCCAGCACCCACATGGCAGGTGACAACTGTCTGTAACTCCAGTTCCAGGGGATTTGACACCTTCTTCTGACCTCCTCAGGCATTGCATGACATGGGTGCATTTACATACATGCAGGTAATGCACTTACACACATAAAATAAAAATAATACATAAATTTTTTTTTTGAAAGCTGGGCATGGCTGTCCATATCTGTAACCCCAGCATTGGGGGCAGAATAGCTTGGCAGGCCAGTTTATTGGAAATGGTGAGCTTCTCGTTCAGTACGAGACTCTGTCTTAAGGCAGTAAAGCAGAGAGCAATAGAGGAAGGCACCCAACATCCTGCTCTATACTCACGGGCATGTATACCCACCCTCACGTCTGTGGGCGTGCATACACACATACAGAGGGAGAAAGAGGAAGAAAGAAGTCAAGCATGGTAGTGAGTGGCTTATAATCCCAGCATTTACAAGACTGAGGCAGAAAAATAACTAGGGTTAAGACCAGCATGGTGTTTATACGTAGGCCATCTCTCAACATATGCAAACCCCCCCCGGGCTGGGGGGACACAGAAATAATACTCCCTTATGTGATTGTTATTAGGATTAGGAAAATAATACACATAGAATAGTTAATGCTAAATATAATATTTTCATCATGTACAGATGAGGAAACTGAGGCACAGTTGACTTGCCTAGGGCTACATAGGTTAATTTGTGAGTCCTTAGTAGAGCTAGGACTAAGTACAAATTTTCTAGTCTCCAATCTAGTCTCCATTATAGTTTTTACTTTACTTCATATACACACGTACATATACACATATATGCATATATACATATGCATATACAGATCATTTTTGGAAGGTGATAATTGTTCTTAAAATATTCAGAATTATATTAACATTTTAAAGTGGAAACTGGGCATTTTATAGTTAAGCAGTAGTTGATCTGCCCTCACCTATGGAAAACATGTTAAAGATTGTAGCTTTAGGCCGGGTGTGGTGCCACACACCTTTAGTCCCAGTGCTCAGGAGGCAGAGGCAGGCAGATCTCTGTGAGTTCAAGGCCAGCCTCGTCTACATAGTGAGTTAAAGGCCAGCTAGGGCTACAGGGAGATCCTGTCTCAAAAAAAAATAAAAAAAAAATAAAAGATTTTAGCTTTAAATATGAAAACACAGTCTATAGCTTAATCTTTGTGTGCTTTTCTTTTTTTAGCTTGAAGAAAAAAACAGCATACTAAACAAAGATATTGAATTATTAAAAAAGGAAAATGAAGAGCTAAATGAAAAAATGAGGACAGCAGAAGAAGGTATGTAGGCTTTCCCCAAAATTGTTAATGTGCCAGTACTCAGGAGATAGAGACAGGTGGATCTGTGGTGCTTCAAGACCATCCTGGTCTAGACATCAAGTTCCAGACCAGCTAGGGCTACATAATGAGACCTGTCTCAAAGAAAATTAGATGAGTAAATAAATTAATTCTCTTTATTTTGTGCATTAGGGTTTTTTTTGTTTGTTTGTTTTTAAGTGTCTTTATATATTAGCTAACTTAGGTAGCCTTAAGAATTATCTTAATGGGGCTGGAGAGATGGCTTAGCAGTTAAAAGCATTAACTACTCTTGCAAAAGACCTGAGTTTGATTTCTAACATCCACATGGCAACTAACAACTATCTATAACTCCATTTCCAGGTGATCTGACACCCTTTTCTGGTCTCTGCGGGCATTGTACGCACATGGTGCACTTCCATACATGCATGCAAAACTTTCATACACATTAAATAAAAATAAGTAGTTTTTTTAAAAATTAATAAATTGGGCATGATCACAAATTCCTAAAATTTCAGCAGTTGGGATGTGGAGCCAAGAGAATCAGACGTTCGAGAGCAGCCTGTGGTACCTGTGTAAAAAAAAGAAAAAAAAACCTATCTTAACAAAGTTACTGAAAGTTACTATGTATTACTATGTAATGTATAGCAATTCAAGTAATTGTTAGGAATTCAGATTAAATTTTTTAATGCTCTACAATAATGTTTCACATAATTTATTGGCAGAATATAAATTGAAGAAGGAAGAAGAAATCAATAATCTTAAGGCTGCCTTTGAAAAGAATATCAGTACTGAACGAACCCTTAAAACACAGGTATATATACTCTTAACCTTTTCCCATTGATTTGCATTTGAGTATCATAAATTCAGAAAATTAATCATTGTTCTTTATGCATGTTTGCCTAAAATGGAGGTCGTATGGTTCAGCTTTTCATTAGAACATAAAGTAAATCCTTTGTTAAATATAAAAGACTCATGGGAAGCAGAATTTCAGTTAAGAAAATTAACTTGTCTAGTAAGTTTAATAGTTAAGAATGTAATGACACATTCAGTAGTATGAGGCCCTGGGTACCATTCCCAACACTGCAGAAAAGCAAATAAAGAATGAGACTTGGATTGTATTGAAAACCTCTTAACAGTAGGAAGACTTGAAGAGACTACACGGTTGATCAGAAGCCAAGAGAGATGGATTGGAAATCAGTAAGAAACTGTAGGGGTGGCTATGTCATTTTTGCATTTGATTATACATCTAGGTCAGTTTTTTTTTTGATCTATTAAAACTTGGTATCTTTTTGTGACTCTTTCTCAAAAAACAAACTAAACAACTTGCTGTCTTGTCATTTTACTGTTACTCAGAAGTGCTTCAATTGTGTTTCTGTAATATTTTCTTCTCTCCTCTTTGTTAAGTAATTGTGTGGTCTCCTGACTGTTAGTTCTCTCATTCTAAATCTACGTTTCAGTCCTGTATGTTGCAACTAAAAGTAATCTCCAAAAAATTAACTTAATTGATACTTTTCAAAATCCCTCAGTGCAGATTTTATTTACCTTACATCAAGACAGAGACCATGAAGAAAAGATTCACATTTATTATGTAAAATTTCATGTGTCTGTGGTGTATCTCACAACATAAATTTAAATAAACTGAAGAATTGGGTGTTGCGGCGCACATCTGGGGCTACGGGGAGATCTGTCTCAAAACAAAACAGAACTGAAGAGAATATTTAACAGCATTAATATTTATAAATTAGAAATAACAATACAGGAGGGGAAAAGTAGCAACTGAGATGCAGACAGTAAACATTTTTGTTGTTGTTGTTTTGAGACAGGGTCTTCCTGTAGTCCCAGCTGACCTGGAACTCATTATGTAGAACTCACAGAGATCCACCTGCTTTACCTCTAAGTGCTGGGATTAAAGATATGTGCTATCACGCCTGGCTTTATAACTGATTTTTTTTTTTTAATCTCTAGTGCTCAGTAGGATACCTGCAATATTATTGAACAATGAATGGATTTATTGTAAGCCTGATTCTTACATAGTGAGATGAGTTACTTGTGTCACCAGTTATATCCTAACCTTCAATAGTTTGTCCTAATTTTCACACACATACACACACATGTACACCCACACACATGTACACCCACACACAGCCCAATTTTGAAAGCACATTTTTAAAGACATTTAAATTGAATGAACGCCTCGTATAGATCCTTACTAACACTATTTAATGTTTGAACAGGCTGTTAACAAATTGGCAGAAATAATGAATCGCAAAGATTTTAAAATAGATAGAAAGAAAGCTAATACACAAGATTTGAGGAAAAAAGAAAAGGAAAATCGAAAGCTGCAGTTGGAACTTAATCAAGAAAGAGAGAAATTTAACCAAATGGTAGTGAAACATCAAAAGGAATTTAATGACATGCAAGCGGTAAGGTTTGTGTGTATGCAAAAGTGTGTGATTATTTTCTTAAATTACTGTTATATATACTTGTCTATCTTAGATTTATTTGTGTAAAAAGCTTATATTTTAATGTATACTTTTCACATTTTGATCATTATTACTCTGATATGTACTCTTTTCTTGAAAAGTTTCAGAGACATGTTCTATTACCTTTTAGTTATAGCTTGAGTAATTTTTACCAATTAGCAGCTGCTATTGACCACAGACCCTGGTTTAAGAGAGACTTTCAGTGGTTTTGATTCTTTGGTTTGCAGCTGAATTTGGAACTTGGCTGTTAAATTGATTATGCTTGGGTTACAGTTTCTGAAGTACTGTAGCTTTTTTTCTAGTTAAACCTATTCTTCCAAAAATCAAATAATTTTTTATATTTCATGGCATGATAATGACATAAAATTGTGAGCATGGTCTTACACATTATATCCAAGCTTTGACTCTATAATTTATGGGTTTATCATCCTGAGACGTTTTCTGTACTTTTTTTTTTTTTGGTCTTTTTGAGACGAGGTTTCCTTGTGGTCCCAGCTGGCCTGGAACTGACTGTGTAGACCAATAAATAACTTATTTGAATTCAGAAAATCATTTACTAACATTTTAAATACTTTGGAAAAGTATGAATACCTTATGCATTAAAAAAATAGAAAATGTTCACCAGGCGCAGTGGCGTACGCCTTTAATCCCAGCACTCGGGAGGCAGAGGCGGGCGGATCTCTGTGAGTTCAAGGCCAGCCTGATCTACATAGTGAGTTCCAGGACAGCTGGGGCTACAGGGAGACCCTGTCTCAAAAAGACCAAAAAAAAAAAAAAAAAAAAAAACTTTCTTACAAAGTAAAGAGGAAAAGGTGCATACCCCAAGCATTACACTATTGAGAGAGAGTTCTTTTTCTAAAGCACAGCAAGTCTGTGGGAGTAGCCAGGCACAGTTGCACACACCTGCCCCAGCTACTTAGATTGAAGAGTACTTGAGCTCAAAAGCTCTGACAGCCTGAGCAGCCCTGTTTCCAAAAGAAAAAACAGTTAACAACAAACTGGTAGTAAACATTCATGGTGTACAGCATATTTTCATATGAGCAAATTACTCATTTATATTTAATTCTTAATGTTGAAAATTATTTTAGCCTGATTATTTTTGCTGTCTTGACATTTTTCAAAAATAGCAATTGGTAGAAGAATGTACACATAGAAATGAACTTCAGATGCAATTGGCTAGCAAAGAAAGTGACATTGAGCAGTTGCGGGCAAAACTTTTGGACCTTTCGGATTCTACTAGTGTTGCTAGTTTTCCTAGTGCTGATGAAACGGATGGAAACATACCAGGTAAGAATACTTCTAATGAGCCACTCAGCTTGGCTCAAATGTCATGACAAAAAAAAATTTTTTTGTTTACTTTTTATACTTTGTCATTTTGTCCACAGACCTTTAAGAGGAATTGTTTTTAACAGATTAAGACGCGATGTTGTCTATTAGGTACATTTTATAGAATAAAAAAATAGTCGTAAGAAACCTTAAGTTACTAAAATTTATCTAAGAAGCTGTGCCTGAATGAAAACCTAAAGATTTTTTTTTAATTATATATGTTTTGTGAGTAGCCACGGTTTGATGCTTTATGTATTTTGGTATTAGTGTACGCTTAATAGTAAGCAGAGCCATAGCAGCTGTAAACAGAAACCTACCTGAGTATTAGTGATAAGAGAGGGAGAGGGAGGGAGGGAGAGAGAGAGGAAGAGGGGGAGAAATCATGTAACAGTAAGTGGCCAATATTTCAGACTTTTTTGTCTTTTTCATAATGGAAAGTAAATTTAAAAAAAAAACCACAACGTACTTGGCTTAATTAGAATACAAATACAGTGAATAGATTACAGATTTTAAAACACATTTACATAAACTGTTCATACTTTGCTATACCACACATTCATAGCTCAGGATTTTAGAAGTTTTTTACAAGGTAATTTAAATTTTACACTTTAAAATAGATTTTAATTTGTTTATTTCCTGAATACTCCATGAGTTAAAAGGTATTTTCTAATGCACAAATAATTGTCGGTATCCTGATTTAATACATACATTTATTATTTCGTATAAGAGATTTGATAGACTATATAAGAAATTTTGTTCTTGTTGAGGAAAGTGGTACCAAAAGGAACTTCTGCTTAATGTCATGTGGTCTGTGCCCTTGTGCCTTGGTGTCTTTGCTTGCTCCAAATCAGGTATCTGAGAAGGTAAAAAGAAGGGGTATTTGCTGCTCTGAAGGTCAGGGAATTCCTTCTTTTAAATTTTTGCTTGTCTCATACCATCTGCCTTTTGAAATTTGCAGCTATGCATCATTATAGGAACATTGCTTTGGATTTAACAAGAATCTCTAGCTTCAGCTATTTAGACCTCTGAGGTTAGACTTAAGACTTTTAGAGGTCTCTGACTATAGTGGTTCAATTTTTGAACTGAAATTATAGTTTAATTCATTTTTTGTTAATATCAACATACTTCTGGAGTAAAGGGATTATTTAATGTCAGTTAAAAATCTTGAGCAGGCCTTTTTCCTTATCTCATGCATTTCCCGTTAACTGTAATATCTTATGTGTGCCACAATTTTCTTTAAATGATGTTATACATTTCAGAAACTTCTACCTAATTCATAAACATTAGAAGATTTGACTCAAAAGATAAATTGGGAACTGATGAAATGGCTCAGCAGTTAAAAGCACTGGCTGCTCTTGCAGAGGACCCAGGTTCAGGTCCCAGCACCCACAGGCTGACAGCCATCCATAATTCTAACTCCAGTGGACCTGACACCCTCTTCTGATATTCACAGGCACTTCACACAAGGGTACACTTACATACGTGCAGGAAAAACATTCAGACATAAAAAGTAAATAAATAAATACTTATGTTTAAAAGATAGTAAGACCACAGAGGCGGTTATGCATTTTATCCACCATTCTGGCTAAATCAGGTTGAGTAAATTCATCAGGCAGTTTATTGGCAGGCTTAGGTCAGGCATTTCTTTCAATTTCAGAATCTGACTTAATTTAGGAGTCCATTAACAAAGGAATTTAAATGCTTTTACTGGCTCTGTTCTGAGTGGTTTTCCTTAAAATACTTGTTTTCAGACATTTTGTTTCCAAGGCTTATCAAGTGTCCGGTACTAGGCACCATTCTCCTTGTCTATAAAATAAGCCCATTAGATACCTCTTTCCTCATCACTCTGTTGTCAGTGTTGGGCGTTTATAAAGACCCTTGACATGTTGAACCCTAATTTTCCTATTGTGTATATGGGTCATATTTTTAGTTCGATGATTGATTCATTTATATAACTTCTAGATAGTTGTAGAAATGAGCTGATACTTCATTATTTCTCTGAAACGTCACTATTTAACATAAAATTCTGATTTAATTATCTTAGCCGTCTAGAGCTCAACCTTTGTAATCTTTCTGGGTGGAAGCTTTGTCATTATTTGGGTTAGTTCTCTCCTAATTTCCCAATTTTGAAAGTCTTAAAAAAAGCATGGTGCTGCCAGGCGTGGTGGTGCATACCTTTAATCCCAGCACTCAAGGCAGAGGCAGGAGGATTTCTGTGGGTTCAAGCCCAGCCTGGTCTACATAGGGAGTTCCAGGGCAGCTGGGGCTACAGGGACATCCTGTTTCAAAAAGATTACCCCCCCAAAAAATAATAAATAAATAAAAGCATGGTGCTCTTCTCACTTGTAACTGAAATTCTGAAAGATATTTTTTTCATTCTCAGATTCTTTTTTTTCTATCCTCCCTCTGGTTCTGTGGCAGGATGTGATCTGACAACACTGCATAAATATAGAGATTACCTTTAGGGTTGCAGTTTATATTCTGCCCAAGGGACAAAAACCTTTAATGTGATTATGATCTCCTCTTCCCCACTCTTTTTCCTTCTTTGGAGTTATTGATCTAGTTGTCTGATGAGAATATAGGAAATGAAGCACTAGGAAAAGCACTCAGTGTCAACACCCAGTTGATGTTTATGATCTCTTATTATCTGTATCATCCCCTTTTCATTAGCTTTGATCTCAGGCTATGTAACTTGAACCTGAGTGGTAGTTTGCTGGGTGTGTTTCCCACTGTGTGAGCATAGGAGAGTTTCTGGCCTTACCAATCAGTGATTTGGATATAATGCATCTAAGTTAGTGAGCATTAAATGATTGCATTTTCTTCTTTATGTCACTGGTTTTTTGTTTTGTAGCTCCAGCTAGTCTTGAACACACAGAGATCCACCTGTCTCTGTCTTCCCAAGTGCTAGGATTAAAGGCATGCACCACCATGCCCAGCAATGTTACCTTTGAATATTACTAAAACACTAGAGAGTGATTCTCTGCCCCTCTTAAACTGCATGTGATATATCAAAGTAAGTTTTTGTAGTCTTCAGATACTGGCTTTGATGCTTAAATTGGTTGTATTGGCTATCACTTTACATCTAGTTAGGCTCGCTCTTATTTGGGTAAAAGAATCAATTGTTGATGTTGCAATAATACACAACAATTTTTTTGTAAGTTAAAAATTATAAGGGACTATTCTGGGTGTGGTGGTGCACGCCTGTAGTCCCAGAGACAGAGGCAGGCAGATCCTCTTCTGACCTCTGTAGGCATTGCATGACATGGGTGCACTTACATACATGCAGGCAATAAAATAAATAAATAAATAAATAAATAAATAAATAAATAAATAAATGGACTGGAGGAATGGCTCGGTGGTTAAGAGCACTGGCTGTTCTTGCAGAGGACCCAGGTTTGATTCCCAGCATGAAGTTTGTCTTGAATTTCTTTTACTTTCTGGAGAACCTGACTTCTTTCGTGTTTCTGACGTGAAACATGGAATTCACAGCATTTGACTTACACATTCCCACTTAGATCACAGTTCTTTCTGGCTTTAGAGACATTTAATCTGTTATCGGTGAGCCTAGTTCAGTTCTTAACCCAAACCTAAAACCAAAAAGCATGATTTTTTTTTTTTTATTCTCACTTATTCTCATTGAGAAATTACTGAAAGGGGTGGGATGTTTTAGAACACACAGTTTTGTATAAGTGTCAAGATTCAAGGGTTTTTATTTTCAGTGAGCATGGCCCTAATTACTTCATTAAATATTAAGACTGCATTTTATTTCTCTTGTTAATCCTAATATTTTCCAAACCATGCTTTTAAAAAAGAGCTTCTGGGGCCAGAGAGAGATGGCTCAGGGGTTAAGAACACTGACTGTTCTTGTAGAAGACCCGGGTTCAAATCCCAGCACCCACATGGCAGCTAACAGGTGTCCATAACTCCAGTTCCAGGGGCTCCAATAGCCTCTTCTGACCTCTGCGGGCATTGCACGACACAGGTACACTTACCTACCTGCAGACATAACACTCCTATACATAAAATAAAAATAATAAAAAAAATTTTTTTTTAAAAAAAAAAGACCTTTCGGGCTTGGTGGCGCATGCCTTTAATCCCAGCACTCAGGAGGCAGAGGCAGATGGATCACTGAGTTCCAGGCCATTCTGGTCTCCATAGTGAATCCAGGACAGCTGGGACTTCAGGGAGACCCTGTCTCAAAAAGACAAAAAAAAAAAAGAGCTTCATTTTTGCCATAGTGGGAAAATTTCCTAACAGTATTTTTCCCTTCCTACAATAAAATACTTAGGAGTGATCAGTATATAAAGAGAACCTTCCTCAAAGTATTTAATATAATACTGCCTGTTTGGCTTAAAATTGTAACCATTATTTGGAATGATTTTAATTAGCTAATTTATTAAAAAGGCAGATGAGCAAAATAATGAATAAATATTTGTTGAGTACATACCCTCTGTGTCAGACACCATCGGACATACCAAACAAGTGTTAGGTTTTTTTAACTTAGTTCAATGTCCTCTAACAAACTGCAGTTTTTCTGAGGGGGGCTAACACAAAAGCTTGGAGATATTAAGTAAATGATGGAAGTAGGAGCAAGAGGAACATTACCAACAATAATTAAATAAATTTTTATGTTCTAGAAACATACGCTCAGAAATTAAGGCATCCTGGGTTTGAACCTAGTACTTTTACAAATACAGATAGAGTGGCTTTGGGAAAGTCAGTCACCTTTCCTAAGCCTTGATGTCTTCTTTCTTGTTCTTGTTGTTGAGACAGTATCTCAGTGTGTTTACCTAGCTGGTCTGGGACTCACTATATAGACCAGACTGACCTTGAACTCACAGAGATCTCCCTACCTCTGCCTCCCATGTACTGGGATTAAAAGCAGCTATTGCCATATCTGGTTGTGTTTTCATTTTTGACATGGAGGGTAATAGTAGACTCTACCCTATATTCCTAAGAATATGATACCCTATGTTCTGTGACTATACAAATCCTAAATATCAGAAATGACTTCCACAGCATTTGGCATTTAATAAATGGTCAGTAATGTCACCTGTTGTTGTTACTAGTACTGTAAGACTGAGTTTTGCAACTTTATGTGAAGAGGGAAAACATGTAAGGTTTTTTAAGTTTAGCTTAAGTATCATAATTTAAAATTGGTTGCCTTTTTATTCTTTCATGTTTTAAATATAAGACTGATATAGGATGAACTTAATTTGAGTTTTCTTTAACCTGATATATTCATTTCTAAAGGAATCATCCATATTCCCCAGATACTTCTAATAAACATTAGTTATATTTAACCAGGTGTGGTGCCACATGCCTGTGAACCCAACATGCAGAAGGTTAAGGCAGGAGGATCTCAAGTTCAAGGATAATTTGGGCTGCACAGAAAGTTCAAGGCCAAGCTGAGCTATATAGTGAGACTGTTTTGTTTTAAAACAAAACAAAGGCTGGTGATGTAACTCCATGGTACAGCACTTAGCTAGCATGCCCAAGACCCCAAGTTTGATCTCTAGTACAATAAAAGAAACATTATATTTAAACAGTAGTGATGGCTGCTGTAAAAGACTGATTATAGGCCGGGTGTGGTGGCGCATGCCTTTAATCCCAGCAATTGGGAGGCAGAGGCAGGCGGATCCTTCTGAGTTTGAGGCCAGCCTGGTCTACATAATGAATTCCAGGACAGCTGGGCCTACAGGGAGACCCTGTCTCAAAAAGACAAAAAAAAAAGTCTTTGATTGTAAATAGTCAAGCAATTTATGGTATAAATTTCAGCAGGTGACCTACTGATTTCTGTGTTTTCTGTTTATTAAATTACAATACCATAAGCATAAAAGACCTTATATTTTAGTTTGAGGTTTGTAATTAGATTTATCTGTAGAATTTAGTACCTTCCATCCAAATTTGAACAATTTTAATGAAATTATTATGAGTATTTTACCAAAACGTTTATCAGAAGATTGTACTGAGAAAACAAATAAAATGCTTGTCTTTTATTCTTTGTATCTAGTTGATTCTGCCTGCATTCCTTATTTATTTACCTTCTGTTCTTATCTTCTGTGAGTAATAGGACACGTGGGTCCCTTTGCTTGCTCTTTCCTGTGTAAATCATGGCTATGATTGTTCCACTTGCTGCATTCTTTTCCGTTTTTTTTGTTTTTGCTCAATATTTTATATGAATGTTAAGTAATATTTCAAGTCTTCTGTATCATACTCCATTTAAGCTGCAATCCATTCCAGTCTTGCCTGGCTCTTAAAGACATTCTTTATACCTTTTAATTGAGTACTAAATGTTAATTTTATGGGAAAAGTGGCTTGGGATATTTTTCTGCAATATTTGTATGGCCATTAAAGTTGATTTGTGTGATTGAAGCATGGAAGAGCAAATTCTAGCATTTATTCATTTAGCTGTTTTCTGTTGCCTGTTCCTGCATGCTGTCAGACAACTTGTAGTCATTTTTCCTTTAGTTAAAATTTAAGATTGACTACTATACATACTATTTTCTCCTAGAGTCAAGAATTGAAGGTTGGCTTTCTGTACCAAATAGAGGAAATATCAAAAGATATGGCTGGAAGAAACAGGTACCATATGCTTAATTTTTTCTAGCTGGTATTTTGTTACATTTTATACTATGGAACAGAGAACTCAGTATTAACTGCCCTATCACTAGCATTGATTTTTACATCAATACATTATATCTAGACACAAATGAAAATTATGCTTATCACTTTAAATCAAGTTACTACTGCTTTTTTCATTCTTCCCTTTTGTCGTTTCAGTATGTTGTTGTAAGCAGCAAAAAAATCTTATTCTATAATGATGAACAAGATAAGGAACAATCCAATCCATCTATGGTGTTGGACATAGAGTAAGTTGCCTTTGATTGAGTGTTTTAAGTCATTTGAATGTTTCCTTATGATAATCAGTTATTTTTAGAACTATTTTGCATTCTGTGTTATTTAAACACTGTTACCTACTTTTTTGTTTTTACAAATTACTAAGTTTAGGGGCTGGAGAGATGGCTCAGCGGTTAAGAGCACTGACTGCTCTTGCAGAGGACCCGGGTTCAATTCCCAGTACCCACATGGTGGCTATGAACCGTCCTTAACTCCAGTTCCAGGGGAATCTGAAGCCCTCTTCTGACCTCCACAGCATTGCACAACACGGGTTCACTCACACACTTGCAGGCAATACACTCTTACACATAAAATAAAAATAATAATTTTTTTTTTTAACTACTAAGTTTAGGGCTGGGGAGATGGTTTAGTGGATGTACTGCACAAACCTGACTGCCTGAATTCAGATACTCAGAGCCCATATACAAACTGGACACAGCAGGGCAGGCAAGCATCAGTAACCCTTGCATATCCCTGTGGGGAGACAGAAGGCAGAGAGAGACAAGAGGGGCAGAAGTTTGCAGGCAGCTAGCCCAGCTCACAGAGTGGCAAAGAATCCCTGTCGCAATAAAGTGGAAAAGTCAGGACCAACTCCCAAAAGTTGTCCTCTGACTTCCATGCATGCACCATGGCATGCATGCACCCACACTTTCACACATTAACAAGAACACACATTACACACACGCAGAAATTATATAAAGTCTTATGGTAGCAAAATATATGAAGGAAAAATTTGTTTCCCTGATTTATGTACTTTGAAAGACAATTTTTTAATTTAAAATATTTACTGATTTTTGAGTTCTCAGAGCATCTTAAAAAGTACAAGATTGGTCATCCGACTGACACCATCAGTACTTGCATTACTTACATGTTAAGTAATGTAAACATAGCTGCTCTTTTTTAGTAATCTATAAGGCTTAATAAGTGTAGGATTTTTCCTTGTATTCATTCTAAAACATTGTGTTATCATAGAGATGGTATGATGTATGTAAAGATAAATTCCTTATTTAAGAAGCTTAGAAATGGGGCTGGAATGATGACTCAGCGGTTAAGAGCACTGGTTGCTCTTGCAGAGGATTCAGGTTTGGTCCCAGCACCCATATGGCAGCTAACAACTCTTTGTGCCTCCAGTTCTAGGGGATCTGACACCCACATCTGGCCTCCATGGACATTGTACAACATGGGTGCACTTACATACATGTCAGCAAAACATTTATACACATAAAATAAAAGATAAATCCAAAAAAAGATTTAAATAAAAAGAAACTTCAAAACATAGAAAATGTAAAATGTATAGTAAGGTATAAATTCAAAGTGAGGTATGGTAAGTGCTATTCAAAAGACCTGAAGTTTAACTGAAGGATTATCTAGTTAGCTCAGTGGGTAGAGGCATTTGCCACCAAGACTGATGACCTCCTGAGTTCATCCCTGGGACCCACAAGGTGGAAGAAGAGAACAAACTCCCAAAAGCTGCCCTCTGACTTAAATACACACACACTCCATACACACACATAAAATTAATAAATGAACTATTACTTTGGAATTAACTTTTTTTGGAGCTGATTATGGTTAAAATGTAAGCAGAATTAAGAAAGTCCTAGTATTGACATATTATATTTTTTAAAATATTTTATTATTTTTATTATTTTATGTGTATGAGTGTATTGCCTGCATGTATGTGAGTTGCACCTATGTTGTACAGTGCCATGGAGGTCAGAAGAGGGCTTCGGAATTCCCTGGAACTGGAGCTAAGGACGATTTGTAGCCTCCACGTGGGTGCTGGGAATTGAACCCGGGTCCTCTGTAAGAGCAGTCAGTGCTCCCAACTGCTGAGCCATCTCTCCAGCCCAACATATCATATTTTTTTAAAGTATTAGCATTACCTGGGCATGGTGGTGCACACCTTTAATCCCATCACTCAGGAGCCAGAGGCAAGTGAATCTCTGTAAGGTTGCAGCCAGCCCGGTCTACATAGTGAGTTCCAGGCCAGTTGAGGCTACAGGAAGACCCTGTTTTCAAAAACGAAAAGCAAAGTATAGTTTTGCCAAAAACATTGTTATAAATAATCAGCCTTAGTGGAATAATACATAAATATTAATATGAAATATGTCTTATGAGTTTTTATCTGAATGAGGAACAATTTGCTACTCTTTATTGAGGTGTAATTTTTGTATAGATAAAATTTTTATTTCCAAGAATAAAGGCCCCTAAAGTGCAAATGATAATGTGATGTAATTGGTTTGTAAAATAAATGATCTTACTGTTTTTCAAAGCAGATAGGCAAGTTTGCATTTCCATCAGCATTATATGAGTGATCCAACTTCCTTACATTTTCAGCAACATTTGGTGTTATTTTTACTTCTCAAATTCTGAAAGTTACATTATAGCGATATTCATCATGGTTTTACCTTATAATGTTGAACATCTTTTTATTTGCTTCTTTGCCACTTTTTTGTCCTCTTCAGTGAAATGTGTCTTTTGTTACAAATGAAATTTTATAATGGTTTATATCATTTATTTCCATCTTAGTAAATTATTTCATGTTCGACCTGTAACCCAAGGCGATGTGTACAGAGCTGAAACTGAAGAAATTCCTAAAATATTCCAGGTAAAAATGTTAAATTATAATGCTAAAACTTCTTTTTCCTAAGTACTAAGCGATTTGTGAAATAAGCATGATATATCAATGTTTTTTAAACGTTTAGAACTTTTACTGTCAAATTAAGATCTTTTTCAATCTTTTATTCCCAAACGTAGATACTATATGCAAATGAAGGTGAATGTAGAAAAGATGTAGAAATGGAGCCAGTTCAACAAGGTGAAAAAACGAACTTCCAGAATCACAAAGGCCATGAGTTCATTCCTACACTCTACCACTTCCCTGCCAACTGTGAGGCCTGTGCCAAACCTCTCTGGCATGTTTTTAAGCCACCCCCTGCCCTAGAGTGTCGAAGATGCCATGTTAAATGCCACAGAGATCACTTAGATAAGAAAGAGGACTTAATTTCTCCATGCAAAGGTAAGGCACAATAAGTGGGTTTCTAATACCTTATAATGGACTTAATCTTAGTCCTAATGAAGTAACTTCAAAGGTTTGATTTCTACACCAAGGTGAACTGATAGGTTCTAAGGTACGGGTTTTTTGACACGAACACCTTTCAATAGAACTGGTAGTTTAGCTTTGAGCATAATGTTTTAAAAGAGAATCACTTGCACTTGGGAGGTAAAGGCAGGCGGATCTCTGTGAGTTCAAGGCTAGCCTGGTCTACATAGTGAGTTCCAGGATAGCTGGGGCTACAGGGAGACCCTATCTCAAAAAAGACCAAAAATGAAAAAAAAGAGAATCACTCCTGTAATCCCAGCACTTGGGAGGCAGAGGCAAGCGGATCTCTGTGAGTTTGAGGCCAGCTCTGAGGAGCACATGCCCTTCCCTCACCAGTAAGATGCCCTGACTTGCTCCTCAAAAAAAAAAAAAAAAAAAAAAAAAAAAAAAAAAACAGAGAGAGAATCACCCCCGTTTTCAAAGCCATGCCACTGAAATTATGTTAAGTTGGAGTGAAGAACCTCAGAGAATCCTGTTCTTCCTTTGAATTTTTAACTTTCCTTATTTTCTCTTTGGTTTTCTCTACATGCCTGGAGCAGCATGCTGTTTGATTAAGATAGACTGTCTTCTGGCGAATTAGAGGGGAAAAGTACAGAATTACTACATCTATTTTAAGATGAGAAGCGTAGATTCTGTAACTGTAAATTGTTTTACTTCTTTATTTTTTTTTTCTGACTTTACATTATTTTCCTGTTTATGGCTATTGATTTTGAGTGTTTGGTTTTTTGGAAAAAAAATTCAGTCTTTATAAAACTGAGAAAGTAATATTGTCCAAGTATAAGTAAGTATATAATCTTTGAAATTTTAAGCTTGAAAAATCACAAATTTAGTAGGTTTGGTTTTTAAAAAGAAAAATACAGTATGGCTTAAGCTGTGAGGTTTTTTGTTATTTTTTTACTGTAGTAAGTTACGATGTAACATCAGCAAGAGACATGCTGCTGTTAGCATGTTCTCAGGATGAACAAAAAAAATGGGTGACTCATCTGGTAAAGAAGATCCCTAAGAATCCTCCATCTGGCTTTGTTCGTGCCTCTCCTCGAACGTTATCTACTAGATCCACTGCAAATCAGTCTTTCCGGAAAGTGGTCAAAAATACAGCTGGAAAAACTAGGTAAAGATCACAATGTTAACCATTTTAGTAATATGAAAGTGGTTTGATACTGTCTATGACAATCAGAAACCTAATTCTTTCCACCACAGAGAATATCGTTTATATCTAGATCTTAATACATGACTTGACAGTTACTTTATGAATTAGTTTAACTGATTGCTGTTAGAAATTAGTAAATATGAGTCAGGTGTGGTAGTACATGCCTTAATCCCAGCACTCAGGAGGCAAAGGGATTTCTGTGAGTTTGAGGCTAGCCTGGTCTATATAGTGAGTTTCAGGCCAAACTCAAAAAAAGAAAAGAGAGGAATTAATAAATATGATACTTAGTTCTATACCAAGTTTTCTTGTCATATGCTAGGATACACAAGGCATAGTTTAGCCCTCATTATTTTAACCAGCTGCTGAATTACACCTTTTTTTATGTAAATAGGCTTATGAAGATTTTTTTGAATCAAAGTTATTTGTTATTACTGATGAGTTACTGTACTATAAACTTCTCAGTTAAAATCCCCACTTTTAAATTTTTGGTAGAATTTTTTCAAGAGTTTTTTAATTTTTTTAAAAATTTTTAAT